AATCTCGTCAATATATGTTTTCAAACACCGATTATTTAGTGTCGTTTTGCTTTAATCCACCCCAAAGGAATTATTGATAAAACCTGGGTTACCCCCTCCGCCCCCTTTTTCCTGGGGCGGGACGTAACACAGTCGGATCAGGATGTCTGGGAACACATCCTGTGCTGCAGGGCCACCAGGACAAGAACTCATAACCTTTAATCCACCCCCAAAACCTCCCAGCTAATTTGTCAACAAGTATTTTTAGTAACAACATTTGCTTCATTTTCCCAGGCTCCCGTAAGCAAGAGACTGGAGAATTCCCATTTACACAGATCCCGCTTTCCCAAAGGGCTTCTTTTCTTCCCTTTATTTTTCCCTTCGATTTTTTAATTCCCTTTCCCCCATTTATTAACACCCCACCCCCCAGATTTGTTCGATTTCTCCCATTTTTATTTTAAATCACACTTCCTTTCCCACTTCCAAGCTGCCCATCTCCCTGGCCCTCAGTGCTTCCTGGGGGAAAGACCTTGGGAATTCCTGTTTATTTTTCCCTAACCCACCTTCAGTCAGTTTTTTAATTCACAGCAGAAGCAGGGCCCAAAACCTCCGTGATTTTGCTAAATTACAGAAAGTCCCTCCCCCCTCAGCCTTTCCCCATGTTGCTCAAACACTCTGTGCAATATAAACACGTGAAAAAACTATTAATGAGTTATTCAATGTTTTTCGTTACCCTCTCCCTTGTTTTTGATATATCAAATGCTGGGCTTTCCAGGAAAAGCCACAGCTTCCAGGATGTTTTTTTATCTCCCAGTATCCACCAGTTTTCCCTTTTATTCTCCCTTCAAGGCTGGACTGTGACTCCCTTCAGAGCTGGAAGCCGGGCCGGATGAATGGAGGCATTTTGTGTGTCCCCCCCGAGCCAGGCTTCCAGCCTCTGGAACATTCACACAGAGCACTTGTGGAAGATGAAATTTCGGGTTCTAAATGGGCTGGTTTGTTTGAAGGCAGAGTTTGGAGCAGGGAGGGTGAGCACATGAACGTCTCCCCACCCCGTGACATGATTTTAGTCCCCCCGGTGACGTTAATGTTTCCCTCCACTGCCAAGGGTTTGTGTTCTTGCTGTCTGAAACCCGCTGCAAAGGCAGAAACCGTTTGTGATGTTAAACAGAATTAAAAATCAACGTGTAAAACAGCTGTGAAACGCAACTGGGAAAAGGAACACAGCGTTACAGCCATTTCCAGCACAGCAGCACTCGGGCTGGCGACCAGCACCCCAATCCAGAGAACTCCCAGGAAAACAATCTGCCCCAAAACAGGGCGGCAGGAGAGGTGCCGGGCACACGCTTAGGGGATAATCTGGGAAAGACACTCACCTTCATCTCAGTGCATTCAAGGTTACACAGAGAACACAAATGTGGGAATATTCGCGGCGACGTCGCATAGTAGTCGTTCATCATGGACGGGGTGGGCAGGCGTTTGCTCTTCTGGGAGTCGGAGAACACGGGCAGCCAGGACGCCTTCACCACCCCGAACGGGGACTTGATGGGCCCCTCGGAGTGGAAGCCTTTGTGGCCCCCTCCGGAGGCGCCGGAGCCGCTGCTGCCGGAGTCGCGCTGCTTCTGCTTGTGCTGGCTGATGGCGGCCAGGAGCCCGGCGGCGAAGGGCGGCGGCGTCATGGGCGGCACGACGTGCTGGGACACGGGCGGCTGCACCAGCGGCGGCATCACGGGCGGCAGCAGGGGCTGCGCCAGCGGCGTGGGCAGCAGGGTCGGCATCATGGGCGGCGGCACCGGCGGCATCGGCGCCTGCGACACGGGCGTCACCACGGGCAGCGCGGCGGGCGCCGGGCACAGCCCCGACACCTTGGCCGGGGGCTCGGCCGGGAAGAACGGCGGGGCGCCGGAGGAGTCGCCCTGGAAGCCGGGCAGCTTCATCAGGTCGTCGGCCGGGAACACGGGGTTGCAGGGCACGGCGGGCGGCGGGACGGGCACCGGCACGCTCTGCTCCCGCGGCACGTCCTCCCGGCCGTCCGCGCCCTCGGCGTTGTACACGCAGGGCTCCAGGGGCGGCTCCGGGAGCCCCTTGGGGCCGTAGGGGCACACCTCCAGCGGGTCCTCGGTGTAGCCGTACTTGCTGGCGTGCCCGTAGTCGATGACCTTGCCCTTGACGGCCGCGCCGCCCGGCTCGGCCCCCCGCTCGTCCCCGCGGGCCGGGGCGCGCAGGCCGGGCACAGGCTGGCCCATCTTGCGGATGCGGATCTCGCGCAGGATCCGCGGCATGTTCTCCGGGGTCAGCTGGTCGTCGGGGTAGCGGCTGAGCTCCTCCAGGTCCTCGTTGGACAGCCCGAAGCTCGCTAAAATGCTGGAGGCGCTCTCGGGCGTGTAGCGGCTCTGGGCGCTCGAGTTCTGCTCCAGCACCGGCACCGGCGCGGGCGGCTTTGGCGCGGCCGTCCTGGCCGGGCACGGGCCGCTGTCCCAGCGGTTGGGGCGAGGGTCTCCCTTCTGCTCCTGGTGCAGGCTGTTCTTCTCCTTGACCTTCCTGGGATCCGCCCTGTGCAGCGTGACCCGCACGTTGATCCTCTGGGAGCCCGTCCACTGCGGCGAGTCCTGGCCCGGGGGTCTCTGGGGCGCTGCCTGGGGGGCTCTCGGCGCCGGTTTCCTCTGCGGCCCCGCCGCCCCTCCTCCCCCGAAGGATCCCGGAGGCTTGCTGCCCGAGGGGTTGGGTCCCCTGGGCCTGGGGGGCAAGGTTCCTCTGGGGCTAAACATTGCGTCTTTGGGCAATGCCTGGCGGAACCCAGCGTGGGCAGGGGCCGCGCCGCCGCCGGACACCGAGGACCACGACTGCAGAGCCAAGTGGGTCTTAATTTGGGCAAGCTGAAAGGGAGGAGGGCCCAACACAAGGGGGCCGGCAAGGCCAAGGTTCAGGGAATTCACAAGTGGTGCGAAACTTTCCAAGAACAACACAAAGCTGCAAGTTAAAAGACAAGGATTAGATGGTTCGTCTCGTCACCTGCTCACAGCGGGTGAGAAAAGCAACCCAAGGCACAAAACGGGGTCTGTGGGACAGTTAAAGAGCTCAAAATTCTGTTAAGCAAAGACATTTTCTTTCACTGCGTCAAACCTTAATATAGAGAACAGGCAATTAAGTCAATGAGCTTCAGCCAATGAGCTCAACAGCACAGGTCACACAACCAGAGAGGACACTCGGAACAGCACCGGTTCAAACCTGGCACTTCACTGCCCCAGGACTACAGAGTTTGGGGTTGTTTACAGGTCATTGTATAAGCAATGAGGCAGAGGGTGAAGCCCCTCTCCAAAGGCTGACGAGGGATGGGATGGACTGGAAGTGAAACCATTACACGGAGAACTCAAACCGGTTACAACTCGGTGTCAGGTCGCTGTGGAGCCGAGCTGAGGTCGCAGCAGCTTCCAGGAGGACACTCCCATGACACTCTCATGGGTAACAACTAAACCCTGCAAGAATTCACGGGGTGTGACAACGCTTGGGTTCTGTGGATAGAAAATTTCCATTTCCCAGATGTTAAAAGCAAGAGCTTAAATCGAAAGGACTCGAAACAGAGAGCTGTAAAATCGTACAGAAACAAAAAAAACCATCTAGACACATAGAAAAGCACCATGGCCGTGGGAACGGGGTCTTATTTTGGGGCAAACCACCGAGAGTTCAGTCCTGTAAGGCAGGAAAAGCAGGTACAAATAGAGGGAGAGTAAAATTAAACACCACAGAGTTCTGGAAATAGAATCACAGAGTGGTTTGGAAGGGACCTTAAAGACCATCTGACTCCAGCCCCTGCCGTGGGCAGGGACACCTTCCACCAGACCAGGCTGTTCCAAGCCTTGTCCGGCACGGCTTCGGACACTTCCAGGGATGAAGGTTGAGACAAGAACAGTAAAACAACAGAATTGTGGCAAAGTTCTGGTGCAGCTCCTCGCTGGCCGAGCAGGGGACACTGGGAAGTCCTCGGTTCAGGGCGAGCACAACAACAGCCAAAACTCAGCGTGTTCTCAGCAGCATCCTCACCCCCAGCCCGAAACACGGCCCTGCAGGAGCAGCTGCTGGGATTAAAACGTTACCTCTGCCCCAGCCCAGCCCGGGAGAACCCCGAAGGGCACAACCAGCACAGGCAGAGGCACCCCCAGAGCCCTCCCTGGCCCCGGTCGCTCTGTGGTCCCCAGAACTGCCCGACTGCTGCTCTGGCTCCTGCAGTGACACTCGCGGGGTCACGGAGTGTTCCCGGCGGAGTTCCCGCTGCTCCCGCTGTTCCCAACGCTCCGGGTTCCTGCAGGTTCTCGTCTCACCAGCCCCGTCACAGGGCTGGTTTTCCAGGCTCGGGGAGGTGACTCCACACAGCAGCTGTTGGCAGGCAGGGGTGACTCTGCCGAGGTGTCACCTGGAAGGACCGAAGTGCTGAAGCCTGAGGACCACGAGGAACAAACCCTACAGGGAGTGACCCACACACGGGCGCTGGAGAGGATTTTCCAGCTCCGTTCCTGGAGCTCGTTCCTATCTGTGTGCACCTTCTATCAGGAATCACTTCGTGTGGACTCAGTACAAACTGCTCAGGCCAAGGACAAACATCAGTCCTATTACACACAGGGAGCCATAACAACCAGACTCCCACCAGACAGCAATCCCAAAACTCTGGCCTCTCATCCAGGGCTCGTGGCCCAACATCCCTCCTCCCTCCACAAGGTCAATGGGACTTCAGTGGGAGCTGCATGTGGGGCCAAGTTTGCCCAAGACAGTTTCCAAGCAGACACGAACAAACACCCCGAGCCATCTCCTGCCTTTCAGTTTGGGGTTTCTCTGGAACTCTCAGCACTGGAGGGCAAAAAAATCCCTCCTGGCCCATTCCTGGGGGAAGCAGCTGGAGAGGGAACGCTATCAAAGCCACCCATCGCCAGAACAACCACGAATATTTGAGGAGAGCAAATTTTAAACACAACCAACAGGTCGGGAATCTCCCAGAGGAGAGAACAAACCAGAATTCCAGCGGGATGAAGTTTTACCAATAAGGCATCTCCAGGTGGGGCAGGTCAGTGGGTCACCTGTGTGCTGGGAGCAGGGATGATCCCACCCCAGGATCTGGAACCACTGCCACAGCTCATCCCAACACACCTCAGCTCACACCTCCCCAGCCTGGCCAGGGAGGGTGATCCAGGCTGGAATGGCCTTGGAGCAACCTGGGCTAGGGAAGGTGTGCCTGGCCAGGGCACTGGGTGGGATTTAAGGTCCTTTCCCACCCAGAGCAGTGAGGGATCCCAGGATACACTGCACAGCAGCAGCGTGCAAGGAAGCCACTGTCAGCTGGGGGGCTGGAGTGACCTTTCCAAAGGAAATGCTGGAAACGCCAGCAGGAAATGCTGCCTAAGGAAATGCCAAGGAAACAATGGCCAGGGATGTCGGGGGGAGGCTCACCTTCCTCCTCAGAGCAGCTCTGTTTGGGGGGTGCCTGAGCGGGGGCACTGCTGGGACAGGGACAGCCCCGGCATTCCCAGAGCAGGGCCCGGGATCCGAGCTGGGGCTGCAGTGCCAGCGGAGCCATGGGATGGTCTGGGGTGGGAGAGACCCCAGAGCCCCCCCCCCCCCCCCCCGGACACCCCCCCCCAGAGCAGGCTGCTGTGAGCCCCGTCCAGCCAGGCCTTGGAGGAATCCTCAGGGGAAAAGCAGGGAGCTGGTGTGGGTGGAGGGAGGGATGAGAGCACCCCCAGCACTGCTGAGATGTCCCAGTTCCTCCCAGTGCCAGGCTGGGGCTGCTCACACCCAGCCCAGCAGCCCCCTCACCCACTCCTGTCCCTGTCCCCAGCCCCCCCAGGGCCTCCTGGAGTCCAAGCTCTGCGTGCTGCAGGTCAGAAGGAACGATCCCGACCCCCTGGAGCCGTGTCCATGGTCACTGTGAGCACCAAACACCCGCCAGCCCCGGCACAACACGGACACCAACCCCAACATCCCCCCGGGGCACTGCCAGCTGGCTCTGGCACCTCAGGACAGGGCAGAGGTGGATTTCTGGAGTCCCCTGGAAGGTTCATCAGAAGAGAAAGTCTGGTGAGCCACTGGAAGGAGAATTTTCTGATTTGTCCCTATAAATAGCACGGAATTTTCTGGCTCTGTGCTAATTGCAGAGTAGATAAATAAAGATGGACCTGCACCCCCCAGGCTGGGAGAGCTGCTCCAGGACTGACCACATCCCCAGGGATGGGGCCGGGGCCACCTCCCCTCGCCACAGCCCAACAACCAGATCTCTTCTGCAGGTTCCTCGGTGTTCCTCTGACAGCCAAACCAGCCTCTGGAGGGGCCTGGATTCTCCTCTTCCTCGCTGTTCCCAGCAGAGATGGTGTCTGGTGGGAGCTGAGGGGCTCCACCTGCCCCAGCCCCTGGCAGAGCCCGTGGTCCCTCAGGGGGGACTCCTGGTCGGATCATTCCTCATCCAGCTCCTGCCACGGCAGCCTGGACATGCCTCCATCAGGCTCAGGAAGTGGCAAGGCATTCCCAGCCATCCTGCTGCACCTGGAGCAGCGATCCACCCTCCGGGATGGCCCCACCATCCCGGGCACTGCCCATCCCGGGCACTGCCCATCCCGGGCTGTTCCGTGCCGGCACCACCCGGATCCCGGAGCCCTGGGACTGTCCCTCCGGAGCTTCCTCAGGTGCCACACAGGTGCTGCCCCTGCCAGCACAGACCCCTGCAGGGACACCCACCTTCAGCTGGTTTATCCACTCTCCATCCATGGTATCCCTCGAGCCAGGGTCGCTCCAGCTCCTCTGAGGGTGCTGAGCCCAGCCCAGGTGAGCTCGGCCCAGGTCCAGCCCGGCCCAGGTGAGCCCGGCCCAGGTCCAGCTCGGCCCTCCCTGGTCTTGGCAGAGCCAGGGCAGCCCCTCCTCCGGGTGGTCTGTCATTCCAGCAGGATCCCCTGCCTGCTCAGGCAAAGATTCCCAGGATAACAGAGGTGAAAACTGCTCCCAAATCCTCTCACACCTGGGCCACCCAGGAGCTGCCTCCGGGCACATTCCTGCTGCCATCTCCAGATCCAGCAGGATCCGAATTCCAAGAGCCAAGCCCAAGCCCAGGCTCCCAGCACCAGGAATGCTCTGGACACACCAGGACACAGAGAGGTATCCGCAGCAGGGCAGGATCTGCCCTGGGGCAGGAGGAGAGAGGCAGGAGGGCTGTTTGCCCCCAGGGAATGGTGCTGGAGCACCTGGATGGCAGGAACAGAGGCCACATCCCAGCCCAGGCTCCACACGGGATCCTGAGCTTCCCAGGGCAAAGCAAACAGCAAAGCTCAGCTGGATGGAATCCCAGAGCCCAGTGTCAGAGACTGAAATGGTTAATGATTTATGCATTCTAGGAGACTT